TCCTTCCTTGTGTCCTACCCTTCTTACTAGTGTCCCACCCTTCCTTCCTTGTGTCCTACCCTTCTTACTAGTGTCCCACCCTTCCTTCCTTGTGTCCTACCCTTCTTACTAGTGTCCCACCCTTCCTTCTTTGTGTCCTACCTTCCTTCCTTGTTTCCTACCCTTCTTGCTTGTGTCCTACCTTCCTTCCTTGTGTCCTACCTCTCTTCTTTCCTAGTCCTTTCTTTCTTCTTTGTCTCCTCCTTTTCCTGTTCTCTTTTCTAGCTGAACTTTAAAAGTCCAGACCTGTTGATTTCAGTTTTATGTCTCTCTCTAATAACTGATTCTTTCAGGTGTTTTAAGGTCACAATATATCTTTTAATTTTCAAATCTGACTATTGTGAATCATTGAACATGACAAATAAAATAAAACAGACTTCAATGATTCGCTGTTTAGAATTGACCTGATTTTCAATCAGTTAATTATAAAATAAATCCAGGTGATTTTTTTTCCCCATCACTTCCTGTTTGGTTTGATTTAGAGGATTTCTACTCATATCTGCCTGTTGTTGTTTTTTTCCAGGGAGGTCGGAGGGCGTAAGCTGACAGTTGGAACCAGACTGGTGAAGGAGCTGGAGGAGTTCGGAGGAGACCTCTCTTTGGAGGGCCTCCTTTTCTGGAAGACTGCCTTCTCCGTCATGACACACCCCGCTGCCACCATCGCCACCTCATCGCAGGAAGCAGAGACAAAGGAAGAGAAGACCGAGCTCCCAGAATCCTCAGCCAGCGACAAGAAGGTGGTCCTCCTGCCCTGCAGAAACCCGCCGAGCCGGGAGCGCGTGCAGCTGTGGCTGGAAGCCAGGAAACAATACGAGAGCCTGCAGAGAGGGAGGAGAGAGACGGGGAAGGAGAGGGGTGAGGCTGAGGTGGAGCAGGACAGTCCGGAGAGAACGGAGCTGCCGGCCGCGTCCAGAAGCCCCTCGGTTACCGTCCAACAGTGCGGGAATGTTTCCAGCACCAGAGCTCAAAGAAGGAAGAAGCTCAACCTGTCTTTCCTCTTGTCTCCTCTGGCGGATGGAGCCAGATCCAGCGCAGAGAGTCCAGGTTCTGATGAGAGCGGGGCGAGCCCGGAGCCGGAGGACAAAGACGAGGATGAAGATGATGCTTCTAAAATAACTTCTCCAGAATCCCCAGAGCTGCCTCCATGGCAGGAATCCCATCAGCTGAGCCCTGAACGCCTCATCAACAGGAAGCCATGTGAAAACTCACCTGAACCATTGTCCCCCATGCAGCAGGAGCCCGGAGAGGGCCGATCTCCTTCCCCGTTCCTTAGCAACGACAGGGACGGAGACAGCAGCCCACTCCCCCTACACAGCACCCCCTTCATGAGGAAAAGGAGGAGGAGCACAGAGGAGCATGATCCGGTGTGCAGCACCCCCATGAGTGACAGTAAGAGCAAACCTTTCATTCTGGCTCTAATAAAACCTTTAAAGCTGATTGCTTTCCTTTTCCAGCTGGACAGGCCTAGCATTATCCACCACCGTTTCTCAATCTGTGTACTACTGCGTTCTCGTGTGCTCGTGTACGCGTGAAACGTCATCAGCCTCAGCCCTAGTACTGTTCCAATTCACAAGAACAGCAAACTGACAAAGTCCCCAGATGTTTTACTCGCCCCCTCCCTCTTTAACCAGCATGCATCAGAACAGATTTGTCCGTTATTCAGATTAACAGCTGTCCCAGCATGCAAGTATTAAGTTAAAAGTTCTCTTTTCTGTTGCTGTTGTTCTATAAAAGTATGTTTTAAGATCATTTGAGGCGAGAACATTATACTTTAAAGCGTCACTATATGGCCCATTTAAAGTTGAGAGGACCGCAGCAACCAGCGGCCCGCCGAGGCTAATGGCAGCCAGGGCTAACGTTAGCCTGTTTGCAGCAGCCCTCTCTCTGCATAGCCGTGTGTGAAGGACCGCTGGCTCTGATGGCGATATTTTTATTTTTTATTTTTTTTTGGCAAAACTGACTGTGTTCATCATTATTCCCCCAATAAATGAAAAAAGTCAGAATTTATTATTATCTAGAGACTATTAATAACAGGAGGTGAAATGCAGCTCCAGACGAGCAGAGCATGTGGTGATGTCATCAGTACGCTTCTGTTTCCAATTGACCCATATTTATACTGCGTGCTCCCGCTCTCCCCAAGCCCACACTTTTCTGTGTTCTTCTCTAGAACATACTTGGCGAGGACACGAGTCCGTACTCGCGTTCTAGTGAATTGAGAAACGGCCCAGGTCTTTAGCTCACGGTTTGTTCTTCTTTTTGAACATCAATGTGTTTATTGATGCTCGTTGTTCTTCCTGCTGTAGAAGATCCTGTTTCTCCAAGACTTCAGCAGAGGAGAAGAAGCCAAGCTGATCCTTTGAGAAGAGTTTTACTGACCACACAGATGAAGGTGGGCGCCCATTACCTCACATTCCTCACTGCCTATGGGGGGAATTTTCTTACATTAGTGTTGGAAGGAAAAAACACCTTTTGTTAATGAAATAAACATATCCAGAAATGAAACTTTGGAAAAAGTGAAACCCATAAGGTGAAAAAGTTTAGAGTAACTGTTTTTCTTAGATTGAGTTTTTTTATTTATTTTTTTCAAATTAGAATAATAAAAAGAAAACTTTTACAGAGCGTATTGGAATTGCAGTAAAGAGAATGTGATCTGTGACATCTTTAAAGCTCAGTTAAAAAAAAAAAAAAGAAAAAATATATACATTTTATACATTTTAAATCTGTAAAAAAATGTTTTAAATAGAAAATTTGTAATTTAAAAATCTAAAAAAAACCCTCAAAGTTCCTCTCAAAACCTTTTCTTTATCAAAAGGTTTTTCTAAGTTATATTTCTGTATTGTCTTTTTTTCTCTCCTTTCTTTTTCAGTTTTCCATTTACAAAACGTATTTTTGTTTTTGGTTGCAACAATGTTGGAGCAAAGTTCACTCCATATGTGTTCTACTCGTGTCCCTCTTGTCTCCTCAGAACCAGTTTGCTGCTATAAACGTGCCAAAGAAGGACCAGTCTCAGATTGAAGGGCCCAGCATAGCCAACTCGTACGGCTTCAAAGTCAGCATGCAGAACCTGCAGGACGCCAAGGCTCTGCATGAGGTGAGCTGCTGCTTTTAGCTCTGGTCATAATAAATGTGCAGCGGCTCAGTGACTCTACAGTGACAGTCCTCTCTCCTCTTTAATCTAACATTAGAAACTTAGAAGTTAGAAACACGTTCAGCGCTCGTCTGGAACACGTCAGATATGTTTATATGAGTTGGAGTGAAGTTCTTGATAAGTTACACAGAAGTTACTCAGAGGTTTAGGATAAGCTAGACGTCATTACTTATGAGTAAC